GAATACTTACGCTGCCATTTAAAGCAATGACATAATCTTACTTTATAACATAATAATAAAATAACCTTTAACAGGGAAAGTAGGTCCAGTAGCATGACCCCGTTTACGTGCGTGTACTGAGATGTCTGGATACTACCGCAAATGTTACTACAATGAGGGGGATTTCTGAAGGGTTTTAAATTGTCTCGCTTCTTTACACTTTCAATTTCTCACAATACCAAAGGTGCTTAGAATGGGCCAAGCCAGTGAAGATCTCATCGTGGGGCGGGAGCGGGCGGCCCTCTCTAGCACGGTCACCGCGATCCGGGAAGGCCCACGCGCGCGCTCCCTCCCCGCCCCGCCGGCCTCCGCCCACCCCACGCCCGGTCGGCCTCCGCGGGCGGGAGGCGCCGGAGGAGCTCACCTGCTTGCCGCCCCCGCCCCCGTTGCTCTGCGGAGGGGCGGCCGAGGTGCTGGCGAAGGTCGCCGCGCCGAAGCCGCCACCGCCGCTGCTGCCCCCCGTCCCGCCAGCCGCCCCGGAGCCGGCGCCCCCGCCGCCCGCGCCGCCCCGGCCCGTGCAGTGGTGGCAGAGGATCTCGCCCTGCGGGCCCTTCTTCCACATGGAGGACGATGTGGTCTTGCAGACGCTGCAGGTGGGCTTCAGGCCCAGTGGCATCGTGGCGGGCTCGGGCGGCCCCCGCGGGCGCAGCGACACGGGAATGGCGACCGCCGGCCCGGGCCGCCCGCTGGTCGGCCCGCCACTCCCAGCGACAGGAAGAGCGGCGCGGGCGCCGAGCTGTCCACGCAGGGACCCGAGGGAGGCCGCTGCCCCCTGGAGGCAGGAAGGCGGTTCCACCCGCTCTGCGACCGGAACCAGCCCCGGGCGGCCCACAGCGCCGGGAGGCGGGCTCGGGGGCGGGACCTGGCCTGGAAAACTTCCGGCGATGGGTGGGGCCTGCGCCGCGCTGGCTCCACCCCCCGCGGCCGGAAGTGCCCCACCCGGGACTTCTGGAAGTGGACTGTAGTTTGGATCTCGATCGCCTTCTGGGGAAAGATTTTGGCAAACTTTTTGGCTTTAGGCCTGGGATTGGCAGGTAGAATGCAGAACACCAAATTAAATTTGAATTTCAGACAAGGAACGAATAATATTTTGATATGCGTGTATCCCGTGCAGTGTTCTTTGTTTATCTGAAATTCGGATTTAACTAGGTGTGCTGTATTTTTATTTGCTAATCTGACACTCAGGCTGAGAACGCCTTTACAGTACTAAAAATTATAATTTAGAACCCCAAATACTTTTATTTATATGGGTTGTATCCATGGACATTTATGCATTAGGAGGGGAAACACATTGTAAAGCCTACAATGTCAATCACACGTTCCTAAACCGTCGGGTGATGATGTTATCACGGGTCCGGTAGCCTCTGGTCAGCACGCCAGTGAGCATGAGAGTGGGAAGGCAAACGACTGGTTTGGCCTAGACAAGAGCATTATGACAAGACAGTTCCCCTCTTATTAATGTCGCTAATCAGAACAGGCCTCACCATGGAAAAGGGTCTCTTGCTTTTCAGCCTCACTTCATAGTGTAGTGGTAGCGTACCTGTTTTCAGGATCCTGGGTTTTCTGGACTTGATATACCTGGAGACAGCTCAATGAATATGCTGGTGGCATGGCCCAGGGAAAGAGAGAAAACTTGTATTGAACGCCCACGTTGTCACAAAATCTCACTTAGTGCTCATGACCACCCTGAAAGGAGTTACTATCCCTGTCTTAGTGTTAACTGATGATTAACTGAGGGACCATGATTTGGACCAGTGGCCGACACAACCTCTGCTCTGACACCACATCCGAATGCCCTCAAAGAGCCCTGGGGCCTGTGCTGTGGCTCAGGCATTCTTGCTCTGAGTCTAGGTTTCCCCAATAGTAGAACAAAATATTAACTACTTTCCAGGACCTTTATGGGGATTAAGACCAACTGTAAAAGTGGTTGAGGAAAATAGATAAGGACTGTCGTCTCATTTTAGAACCATGCACTCTGTGAAGGGCATCTAGGTGGTAAATTTCATGCCCCCTAATGCATGTCTCCATCTCCCAGTGTATACTGCTCTTTGCACTTCATCCACAAATTACCCCCTCTCATTCACTGAGAACCTTGACCCATGGCTCACCAGCTTCCTCTCCATCATAGGACACCATCCTGGGTTGGGTCAACATCCACATGTATGAACACCCAACACCCTGTTTCCTCCATTCTTCCTCGGCCCCCATCTCCATCTCCTGTTTTTGTCAGCTCCTGCAGCTTCTGGTCACACCCTCCACCCTTCTGAGATCATCAGGAAGAAGGCCACTTTTACCCCTTTTATCACAAAGTAACTCCAACCACCAAATCAAGAAATAGAACATTACTACCACAAAACCCCATACTTGCCCCTTACCACTATACCTGACTTCTGACACCATAGATTTTGTCGATTCCCTTTGTCAGGTTAAGAAATTTCCCTTCGATTTCTGTTTTCATCACAAATGTGTTGTACACATTTGGATGGAGGAGGGAGGAGGAGGAGGGAGGGAGGAGGAGGAGGGAGGTTTTATCAAACGGTTTTCTCTATGAGATGATCATAATACTTATCTGTTAATGTGTTCATTACGTGGATATACTTCTGAATGTTAAATTAACATTGCAACTCCTGGAATGAACCCAACTTGGCCGTGATTTACTATCCTTTTCCCATATTGCTGGATTTGGTTTACTAATATTTTTCAGATTTTTGCATCTGTGTTCATGAGTAAGATGGGCTTATAATTTTCCTTTCTTGTAATATCTTTGGCAAGTTTTTCGTCAAGATTATGTTGGCCATAGCAGGAGGAGAAGAATGAAGGGGAGTAAATCGGAGGGGGAGACGAACCATGAGAGACGATGGACTCTGAAAAACAAACTGAGGGTTCTAGAGGGGAGGGGGTGGGGGGATGGGTTAGCCTGGTGATGGGCATTAAAGAGGGCACGTTCTGCGTGGAGCACTGGGTGTTATGCACAAACAATGAATCATGGAACACTGCATCAAAAACTAATGATGTAATGTGTGGTGATTAACATAACAATAAAAATTATTTTAAAAAAAAGATTATGTTGGCCAAAGTAAAGACTTTGGATTACATGCTCAGTGACACAGGAAACTATCTGAGGCTCTTCTATGTGCTGAAATGAAAAGATAAAGGAAAGAAAGCAATTTACAGAACAATGTATAAAATACGATCACTTTATGGAAATATAAAAGCTGTATGTGTGTGAAGAATATTTGTTTTAGTCCTTTAGACAGAAAACTGTTGTCAATTGATTGTAACAGACTCGGTGAGGAAGACTTTCACTTTTCATTTTGTATTGTTTGAATTTTTTTCACAACATCATGTGTTCCTTTTATTTAAAAAAAAAGAAAGAAAGAAAATATCAAATGGGAAAAGGGAAACACCGGTAGGTTTTCAGCCTTAGAAATCCTCTCCCAGCTGGTGAGAGCAGTGTATGGTGGCTCGGGTCTCGTTCAAGGACTGGCACCCGGACCTCCACATGTAGCTCGGGTCATTGTCTGTAAGGTGAGGATGGTATTGCCCACCTCAGGGCTGTGTGAAGATTTGGTCTGTTCTCAAACTTGGCTCATAGTTTTAAGTCAGTAAGTGGGGCTTCTCTAAGCAAAGCCACAAGTCCTGTGCAGACCACACTAGGGTGTAACAGAGTGGTGTGCCATGGGGACAGACAGGGCTGCCAGGCAGAGAAGGTGATGGGGCCAGGGGAGGAGGGGCAAGTCAGGAGGTGAGGGAAATGGATGCGAGGAGAGAACTCAGGAAGGCAACTCAATGAAGTCTGTGACCCCATCCCCTGCTCCCTCGCTGGGGCCTCAGGAAGAGCATGAGCCACAACTGGCCAGGCTGGGCTCCCTGGTCCCCAGGTGCCAGGGAGAGATCTCAGACTGAAACAAAGACAGAGAGAGAGACCAGCCTGGACGCAGGGGAAGGGTTCAACTGCACAGAGACAAACACAATCTGTGCCTGTGGGGATACCTGAGAAAATTCTAGTGTGTGTGTGTGTGTGTGTGTGTGTGTGTGTGTGTGTGTGATAGAGAGAGCAAGTGTGTGCCGTGAAGACAGGAGTAAATACCTCCTAGGGTCTTCAAATTAACACCAAGGGAAAGGAAAAAGCTGAATTCCCCAGGGGATTATCAGTGCTGCCAAGCAGGCTAATTTGCATGATTTAGGTGTTGCATGGTTCATTAATCAAAACTCTTAAAATTAAAAAAAAGGGAGAGCAGATGCATAAAACATATCACAGCCTGGTTTCAAAGAGAGTACTATTCATCCCATTTTGTGTCCCAGTGGATATGAGCCGTGTGGGACTCCTTGAGCACTCATGCCCTTGTGCTGTGCAGCTCCGGGGCAGAGCCTTGTGTCTCCGCTTACTTAGCAGGCCGACCAGGACGACAAGAGCACGCGCCTCACCGGGTGGAGGTGAGGAGTCGGTGAGTTAGTGCGGGTGAGGCTGTAGACAACGTCTACATTCGGTAAGTGCCTGATTGATGTTGATTCTGAGGCCAATACGAGAGCAGGAGGAGGAAGCATTTTTTTGATCAGATTAGTCAAGTCACTGGTTAATAACCTCCTGACATGCAACCTTGGGAAAACGTTAATTAACTCAAATTGTCTACTGACAACAAACTAGGGAGAGAGATTGCGGTCGGGACAGAGGGTGAGTGAGACCCATGAAAGTGCCGGCAGGTGCAGGAGAGGGGAGCCCGGGCAGATAAGCTTGCTGACCGTTCCCTTTTTCATCCCCAGGAGGGGCTTCGTGATGTCCATCTCCCTCTGTGCACATACCTTCCGTGTTAGAACCTGATATGATTACCCTGTTGTGCGGGTGTCCCACGGCTCCCAGCCCGGTGCTCAGGGTGTTCCCTTTGCCTGGAATGTGCTCCCTCCCAACACTTCACACCCCACCCTGTCCTCTCCAGAATCGGCTCAGGACACACCTCCATTCTCCGACTCCCCGATGTAGCTTCCTCGCTCTGACTCTTCCCTCCTCGACCTCACGGTGTACCTTTGCACCCACGTCGCCTCCACGGGACAGTGAGCGTGCTGAGAACAGGAAGCTTGCTTTTTTTCCTCTTTGGGTTTCTTCCATGCCCCGCACACAGTAGGCACACACTGATGAGCAGTGTAGTGAGTGGATCAGTCAGCCTGTTCTCAGCAACACTTTGCATTCAGGACAAGTGTCTGCTCCCATGCCTCTCCTTGCTGCCCTCCTACGTGGTCATCTGACTTCTCTCACCCAACAGCCTGAATCAGGCTTCCCTGGCTCCTCACTGGCCTGCCGCCCCGGGTAGGTATCTCCCTATACCACGGTGGGGGGGTCGCGTTATCACCTCGCAGAAAAACCAGTGCCTGCTTTGTCATAAACAAATCTTCCTTATTTGAAATAATTGTGCGGGTCTTCCTCCTGCTTGGGAGAAGGTGATGACGCCAGGTCTTCTGGAAGCCGCAGGACGCCTAGCCCACCCGGTGCTCCAACTGCCACTCCCCCCAACTGTCACTCAGAACTTCCCTCTTAGTCCCAGGGCCTGCCTGCCCTTCGGATGACCGACGGCTCCCGAGCCAGGGAAGCATTCTGAGACCAGGTGAAAGCCTCATTGTATGATTAAGGCACCGGCCAACTGTAGTTTCATGAGGAAAGCTCAGCTGCCGTTGATTTTTGTTTGTTTTTTGTTCCGAGTGCTTTGAAACTCTCTCACGGCCTCTCCCCCTTCTGATTTGCAGGACCGCCCGGGAGGAAACCAACTTGGGTACTCGGCATCTTGCGGGGCTCCTCAGCTGCGTGTCAGGACAGTTCCCCTCAGGAGAGCTCCAGATTTTACCAAAAAGAGAAATATTCCCTTTTCTCTTCAAAATGTAAATATCTTCTTTAATATAAATAAATGCTCATTATAAAAATTCATACAAACTCAGAGTGTGTTCCCCAGCTCTGCAGTGTTAGGGATACCCATGTTAACGGTTTGTCCTCTATCTCTTCAGCCTCTGGAAATGTGTATGTGTGCAGTGTATAAAACATGAGTGTGATCCTACTACGTATTATTCTCTACTCTAGCTTTTTTTATTCAAAAGTGTGTTGGAGTGAACTTCTGACATGAATCCATATATATATATATATATATATATCGAACTTTTCTTTGCCAAAATCAATTTAACCATTCCTTAATGATTGATACTTAGTCTGAAATTTTTTTTGCAGTTACAGTGAATAATGTAATGAGCTTCCTTATATATGTCTCATTGCCTATTTGTGTGGGTATTTTTATGGGGCAAGTTCCTGAAAATGTAATTGTTGGGTGTAAAGTGATGCACATTTTGAATCTGATGCTGCCAAATTACTGACGAAAGAAAGGTTTACACACCTGCCAACTGCTTGAGGTTTTCTCAGGGCTGATTTAGCCCCCTGGCACAGTAGGCACATTGCCTAGGGTCCAACGTACTTTTAAGGGTCATGAAAATATTTCAATTTCTTTTAAAATCAGTAGAAAAAAAGTGAATATAATAATAATGAATAAATAGTGTACAATGAATCCAGTCTGGATTGTTATTTTTTTCATTCCAGTGCAGCCAAAAAATGCACATGTAAATATTTTTTTTATAGAAAGGGGAATATCTGTAGGACCCCCACAAGTCGGAATGTGGCCCTAGGTTATCCATTTCTCTACACCCCTGCAACTCTGAGAATTAGCTTTTTAGTTTTTTGGGGGGAAAAAAGTACACAATTGTTTTTATTGCATGGATATTTGTGAGGTATTATTTCCTAAGTTTATTGAGCAAAGTTCCCTTATGAATTGTCTATTTATATTCTTTTTTCATCTTTCTAAAGAGTTGCTCATCTTTTCCTTTTTAAAAGGTTGTTCTTACAGTAAATATTGCAAGTTTTATTTTCACAAATTTGCATTTCAGAGTTATTGGTATCTTTTGTAATGATATTAAAAGTGCTTTTTGTACACCAAATCTGGCAAGGATTTCCAAGCATTCTTACAAAGGCTTACAAAAATAATCGTTGATATTTTCTTGTAGAGTATCTATGGCTATTATTATTTATGATAATATCTTTAATTCATCTGGAATGCATTTTTGTAAAAGATGTGAAATAGTTATTGAACTTTGTTTTCTAAGCATAACTACTTGTTCCAACACTATGGGACAATAATTTGAAATGCCACCTTTATAAAAATTTTTTTTAAAGATTTATTTGAGACAGAGACAGAGACAGTGAGTGAGTGCGGGGGGTGGGGCAGAGGGAAAGAAAGAGAGAAGCTCAAGCAGACTCTCCTCTGAGCGCAGAGCGTGATGTGGGGCTTGATCTCATGACCCTGAGATCTTGACCTGAGCCGAAGTCAAGAGTCGGACACCTCACCGACTGAGCCACCCAGGCACTTGCCTTTATCAAACTTTAAATTCTCATACACATGGGTCTATTTCTTACATCTCTTCCATCCCATCGGTCCATTTATCTATTGACATGCTACAACCATACTTTTAATCCTGTAGCTTCATGATATTTTGGTTTCTAATAAGGTAAATCAGTACTCCCCAGCTCCCCATAATCCTTCTCTTTCAATTTTCTTCTTGATTATTCTCATATATTTACTCTTTCTGATGAACTTTAGAGTTATGTTTTCAAGTACTGAAAAAAAATCCCAGTGAGGGCGCCTGGGTGGCTCAGTTGGTTAAGCGACTGCCTTCGGCTCAGGTCATGATCCTGGAGTCCCTGGATCGAGTCCCGCATCGGGCTCCCTGCTCGGCGGGGAGTCTGCTTCTCCCTCTGACCCTCCCCCCATCTCATGTGCTTTCTCTCTCATTCTCTCTGTCTCTCAAATAAATAAAAAAAAAATCTTTAAAAAAAAATCCCAGTGAATTTTGCAAAATTTAGAGGTTAATTTGAGGAGGACATCTTTGTAAAATGGAGTCTGCCTCTCCAAGAGCGTGGTGTTCTGTTCAGACCTTCTTTTTATGCCATTCCCGAGTGGGGTATGGTTTGACCAAGCCCTGGCCCTCTCAGCAATCTTCTGTGGGGAAGCAGGCCAGCAACAGGGGCTTGTCTGAGTCTTCATGTCCCAGTAAAGCTAACGGGGGGGCTTTTCTTTGCCATTTTTGGTTCATTTCGTACTGGTTTTCTAAGAACTGTGCTCTGCTCCAAAGCACTGTGGCAGAGCCACCGTAACCTCTTTACCTGCATTTCTGGTCTCTTTGCTTCTGCGTTTGCTTATTCTGGCCCTTTCTCCACACTGTGCCTAGTGCAGTCTTTTTTTTTTTTTAAGGTTTTAGTATTTCTTCATGAGAGACAGAGAGAGAGGGAGGGAGAGAGCACAAGCAGGGGGGAGGGGCAGGCAGAGGGAGAAGCAGGCTCCCTGCTCAGCAGGGAGCCCAATGCGGGGGGCGGGGGGGGGGGGGGCTTGATCCCAGGACCTGGTACCATGACCGGAGCCGAAGGCAGATGCTTAACCGCCTGAGCCACGCAGGCGCCCTAGTGCAGTCTTTCTAGTCAGATCCCCTGGTCCCCTGCTGGAGTACCTTCAGTAATTCTCTGTTGTATCAGTTACCTATGGCTGTAACAAATCACTACAGACATAATGCCTTAAAGCAATACAAATCTATTCTCTTATAGTTCTGCAGGTCGGAAGTCCCAAATCGGTCTCCCTGGCCTAAAATCAAAGTGCCAGCATTCGGATTTGGAGGTGCTAGGGGAGAATACATATCCTTGCCTTTTCCAACTTGCAGAGGCCTCCTGCATTCCTTGGCTCACGGCCCCTTCCTCCGTCATCAGAGACAGCAACTCTGTCACTCGGACCTCTGCTCCTATTGTCATCTCTCCTGTGACTCTGGTCCTCCTGCCTCCCTCTTATAAGTATGATCATAAGGATGCTTATGATTCAGTTGGGCCCACCCAGAGAATCCAGGATCCTATTCCCACTTCAGAGTCCTTAGCTTCATCACATCAGCAATGTTCCCTTTGCCATGTGAGGGGCATTCACAAGTCACAGAGATTAGGGTGTGGACATCTTTGGAGGGCCATTCATTCTGCCTACCATGGCCATGGCCTTCAGGATGAATTTGCTTGCTGGTCCCTCACTGACCTGCCCTAACTGGCCCTCTGCCTAACCTCATTCTGCTCTGGAACCTGCCCTCTCTGCTTCTTCCCGTTCTGGTCCAGGCTGACTCTCTGCCTTGGAAAACTTTTCCCCATCTCTTCCTCCTACTCATCTTTCAGCCTTGGCTGAAACTTCCCTTTCTCTGGAAGCTTGTGACAGCCTCTTCTACTTCCTACATTTTCCTCCAGACGTTATGAGGGGCTCTCGTTATCATCTTCCATTGTTCCTGACCCTGCTTAATTTGGCTTTTATATTATTGCTTGTTTATCTTCTCCTCCAAAATATAAGCATTTTGAGGGCAGAGGTGATGAGGGGAGCTCCACACCTGGCACATAAAAGGGAGTTTATGAACTCCTGGTGGATGAATTTATAAACATATTAATTTCATTATAAAGTGCAAGTTACTTTACTCTATAGGCCTCATCTTAAAAGTAGTGGTTCATCACTCACCCAATAAATATTTGTTAAGTACTGGCTTGGTAAGTCCTGAGCTAAGGGAGTTAAAATTAAGAAAACATCGTTTGAGGGGTGCCTGGCTGGTTCAGCGGGTACAGCATGTGACTCCTGATCTAGGGGTTGTGAGTTCAAGCTCCATGTTGGGCATAGAGCCTACTAAAAAACTTAAAAAAATTTTTTAATTAAAAAAAAATAGAAAACTCATTTGAATGTTACAAGGATGCTAAGATTGTAGTGGTATGAGCACAAAGACTTGAATAACAATTCTCCTCCTCCAGGAAAATGGACTTGGAGATCAGTGAACCAATAGACTTTAGTTCTGGAGATCATCACCATCTGGTTCGGAAAGCAGCAGATAGTAACGTCCAGATCAAGTCTGGTCAGTCCTACACAACTTCGCCTTCTGAGCCACAAAAAACTCGCGGGAATCCACATTCAAAGATGAAAGAGCGAGCGGATAGCTATGTGGTACAAATTTCAGATGAGACCACCCCAAATGACAGCAATAATTTAGCCAATCCATTCTCAGATTCATCGGTCCGCAAAGGTGAGCATAATTTTGGAAGAGAAAAGCAAGTGTTCTCTCAAAATGCTTTCCCAGAGTGGATTGTTAGATGCTTTAACTTTGCCTTTAGTTTTTCCCAGTTACACTTTACCATGAAACATGATGTAGGGCTGCTGTAGTAGGTGGTCCCTTAGTTGTCCAGGGTATTCAGAAATTCATAATAAACATATTACGGTAAACAATGTGTGGTTCCCTGAGGAAATATGAATTACCCACTGACTGTAGAATGTTCTTACCTCCCTACAAGGTGATGCCATGATACTGGTTTTAGTTTTAAAGCATATTAATTTAATGCCCCCTAGATATTAATTCTGTATGGGAAATACATTCAGCTGTGAGCAATAGAAAACTAAAAATCTGTGGCTTCAAAAAACGTCTTTTTTCTTTTATGAACTATGCCGTTCAAGGCAAATGCTACCAGTCCCCCGTGACCACTCTGTCATCCTTAGACCCTCTTAGGGCCTGGACAACTTAAAGGTAGACTGTGAGCTTTGAACCCCACTGCTGTCTCCCTGTGGCCTTCACTCCCCATCTTGTGGCTGGAAAGATGCCTTTTGGAGCCCTAGCCTTCCAGGTAGGGAAAGGCAAAGGCAAAAAAAAGGCTAAGCCTAGTCTGCTGCCTCGACAACTCCAAGGGGTGCTATTCATGGACAGATGCCCGAGAGTAAGCCAAATCTGACTTCTTTTCAGAGGCTTTCCTAGAAACCACACCCAAGAATTTCCACTTGCTCCTCATTGACCCTACCAGGATCCCACGGCCACCTCCATCTGTAGTTTTTTTAGTTGGGCCCATTGTCCTCTTTAACCAGGTTGGGGTTGGGTGGTGAGGAAGCCAGGGAGGATGGATGGCACCACATGAGCCACCTCTGCCCCGGTGCCAGTCCTTCAGCACCGGGTGTTGTGCGAGAGGAAGAGTTTTGCATTTAGTCCTTCCAACAACCCTGTAAGTGAAAGCATTGTAGTGTCATTTAACACATGAGGAAATCAGGTTGAAGGCCTCCCCACCACTGTTAGAGTTAGTTGCTTGCGTCTGTCTCTCCTGGAGGGCAGAGGCTGGGCTCTCTCCCACTTTAAAAAAATTAATATGGTATGCAAAAAGATGAAAGTCTTATGGAATCAATGGGTAATGGATGAAAAGCTATGGGACTGGGGGGCTATCATTATTTGAAACAGCTTTATACAATTTACATATCATAAAATTTACCCCTTTTAAGTGTACAATTCAATGATTTTTAGTATATTTACAGAGTTGTGCAACCGTCACCACAAAAAGAAACCCATACCCATTGGGGTCACTCCCCATCCCATCCTCTCCCCTGGCCTCTGACAACCACTAACCTACCTTCTGTCTCTATGAATTGGTGTATTCTGGATATTTCATATCAATGGAACCAAATGATATGTGATCTTTTGCGATTGCCTTCTTTTACTTAGACTTAGCATAATGTTCAAGGTTCACCTGTGTTGTAGTATGTGTCCAAACTTCATTCCTTCTTTATGCTCATATAGTATTCCATCGCCTCATTAGAACCCATTTTGTTTATTTATTCTTCAGTTGACAGACATTTGGGCTATTTCCACTTTTTGGTTATTAGGAATAATGCTGTGATCAATATTCATATTTGAGTTTTTGTGTAGACATACGTCTTCATTTCTTTTGGGTAGTAGATACCTAGGAATTGCTGGGTTATATGACAACTCTGTATTTAACATTCTGAGGAATGTTAAACATAGTGGCTGCACCATTTTACATTCCAACTAGCAATGTAATGAGGGGTTCTGTTTCTACATGTCCTTGCAACACTTGTTATTGTCTGTCTGTCGTCTTATAGCCATTCTAGTGTGAGGTGGTATCTCACTGTAATTTTGATTTGCATTTCCCTAGTGACTAATGATGTTGAGCATCTTTTCACAAACTTATTGGGCATTTGAATATCTTCTTTGAAGAAATATCTATACAAATCCTTTGCCCACTTTTTAAAAAAACAGGAACCATTTTATTATCTTTCATGATTCTGTGGGTTGACTGGATTGAGTTGGGCAGTTTTTGTGCTGGTCTTGACTTGGAGTTCTAATGCAGTTGTAATCAGATGGCAGCTGAGGCTGAGTGGCCATTCTGACTCCTTGACATGGCTCGAAGTTGGTGCTGGTTGTTGGCTCTCTCTTTATGACTTGAGTCTCTCAGCACTTGGGAGTTGGGTCCCAAGAAAAAGTATACCAGATAGACAAGCCCCATTGTGCCAAGAAGTTTGTCAAGCCTTTCCAGGCTTCACACATGCTAATGTCTCACTGGCCAACACAAGTTACGTGGCCAAGCCCAGTGTCAGTTGGAGGGGGGCACTACACAAGCTCTGTCCATTTTTAATTATTTATCTTCCTGTTATTGAATCGTGAGAGTTCTTTGTGTATTCTAGGTATAAGTCCCGTATCAGATACATGGTTTGCAAATATTTTCTCCCAGTCTCTGGGTTTTCTTTCACTTTCTGATGGTGTCATTTGACGCACAGAGCTTTTACTTTTTTTTTTTTTTTTTTTTGAGAGAGAGAGAATGAGAGACAGAGAGCACGAGAGGGAAGAGGGTCAGAGGGAGAAGCAGACTCCCCGCTGAGCAGAGAGCCCGATGCGGGACTCGATCCCGGGACTCCAGGATCACGACCTGAGCCGAAGGCAGTCGCTCAACCAACTGAGCCACCCAGGCGCCCGAGCTTTTACTTTTGATGAAATCCAATTTGTCTGTTTTTTTCTTTCTTTGCTTATGCTTTAGGTGTCATATCTAAAACATTTATTGACTAATTTCTGCTCACAAAGATTTACATCTACGCTTTCTTCCAAGAGCTTTGTTTCTTTTTTTTTAAAAGACTTATTTATTTTAGAAAGAGAGAGTGTGCGAGGTGGGGAGGGAGGGAAGGGCAAAGGGAGAGGGGAAGCAGATTCCCTGCTGAGTGAGGAGCCCTGATGTGGGGCTTGATCTCAAGACCCTGAGATCATGACCTGAGCCGAGACCAAGAGTTGGACACTTAACAGATGAGCCACCCAGGCACCCCAAGAGTTTTGCTTTTTATGCTTACGTTTATGATCCATTTTTAAACTAATAATTAGATTTTGTGTATGACATGAGGAAAGGATCCAAATTCATCCTTTGGTATGTATATGTCCAGTTGTCCCAGCACTTTTTTTTGAAAAGACTATTCTTTCTCCCTTGAATTGTTCTAGCACATTTGTTAAAAATCAGTTGGCCATAAATGTAAGGGATTATTTCTGGACTGTCTATTCTAGTGATGTCTAGTCTAGTCTTATAAGGCTGGGCCACATCTAATATTTATTCCCTCACAGTCTCTGATATATAGTAAATGTGCAATAAATGTTGACTACATGAATATTTTAAGGTAGGCAGCCCTCATTGGGGCACATATGTTCTGGTATTTTGATTAAGATAGCTCAATCCCATTTCTTTGTTGTCACCCTTCCAACGCATCAACACCACCTAGCCAAAGGACACAGTTGACAACCCTGTCAGTCATCTCTAAGCAGAATTTACTTTTTCTTTGAAAATTGAGTCAAAGCTACCAAACAGTTCACTGTCATCATATTCAGCACCATATTCAGAGGGCTCTGGGAAGAGCTGTGCAGGAGGAAGGAAGCAAAAAGAGACACTGACATCCTCTGCACTCAGCTTTGGCATGCCGCTGGGACCTCCTTGGTCTTATTTATGATTCCTCATGTTATCCAGTTTCTGCTCAAGTTGAAGGGAAGGGAATTGCTAAAGGGAGGCAGGCTGGTGAGAGAAGTGGTGGGAAGGCTCTGCGGACTCCCAGCAGCCCGCATCTGTCTCTGAGGACTAGCTGCCCTCTCTACCTGCACTCCATTTCATCCACAGGTGGACCCGGACCCCTAATGATGGCCTGAGACATCCAGGGACTTTCAGGTCACTTTTAGTCCTAAGGAGGTTGGGGTGTGCATAATAAGGAATTAAATTCCTGTTTGTCTTTTAGATTTTGGGGCTTCCACGGATAAACCCTCAAATCTCCAGTAAAATACCTGTGACAATCCGAACGGGATACTTTCCACAAGGTCTGCAGAACTGGATCTCTGTTGTTATTCCATCTGCTGAGTCTAAACTAGTGCTCCTTTTCCCCTCCTCAAAAAGTCAGAGGAAATATTCTTTCTGTTAAGTATCAAAAATAGATAATTACATTTCTATTTTTACTTTTGAATATTGTGTCATGAAAATAATGTTTCTGTCTCTTCAGCTTTCATTATCAAAGTGTTCCTGATCCTGTCAGCTCAGCTGGTGGCCACTGGGGCAATTGTCAGCCTGTTTCTTTTCTGGTAAGTCTTTGTTACTGATGTAAATTAAATATTAAGTTGTTCACATTAATTCTTATTGAATCGACTCGACTTAATTCTGATCATTAAACATTATCTGTTTTCTCTTAATCATCCATAGGATATGATATTTCTATAGCTTTGTGGTTCCTGAGGCAACTCTTAGAACAAGTGTTGGTAGATTTCTACAGTTTTGCTTCAACTTCCTAAGCCGAGATCTTTTTGTCTTACTCTTATTTGGGGCACTATTTCATTTTCTATTTCCCCTGAGCTATTTCCACAGATAAAAGTGGATAAATGGAAAAAAGATGAGATTATGGAGGCTTTGGAGACTTGGAACGCGGTTAAATGCAGAAATTATTTTGGGGCTATGATCCATCACTGCTTAAACTTAGCCTATGAAAATCTCTATTTACAAAACAAATTTATGAGAAGTTGGTATTTTTTTTTGTTTTGTACACCTAGAGACCTCAGTACTTTTTAAAAATAAAAATGTCACCAGGACATGTACATTCATACAAATTTGACTTACATGACTGTCTTTTTATGAGTCTATTTTAAGAAGCAAGGTATAGTTCTAGGTTTCATTATTTCACTCCTCATTTGTCATTGTCAATCATTTAGGATTTACCCCTTTCTCATGAAACTGTTTTATTTCTAAAGTATTACATTAAACAATTTGTTGTTTAAAATTATATTAATTTTTTTTTAATCAGGAAGAGTTTAAAATCTTGGGTGCTCACGAATGCCTGGTTCACCTATGCAATCTTGTAAGTATTCTTGGATTTCATAAAAAGTGATTTTTCTACCAGCTACTGATTGAGTTTCTTTATTAAAAATTAAGTAAAAGTTTAACATTCTGGAAATGACAAAATTATAGAGATGACAAGCAAATTAGTGGTTAGTAGGAGCTAGGGTATGTGTGTGTTTGTGTGTTCCCATAAAGGGATGGCATGAGGGAGATCTTTGTTGATGTTTTAATGATGGGATAGTTTCAAATCTTGATTGTGGTGCTAGTTACACATATCTACACAGACTTGTGTCATGGTTCTATGACATAGCATTATACACACATTGTACCAATGTCAAATTAATGGTGTTGGTGTTATCCTATATATATGTAAGATGTTACCACTGGGGGAAACTGAGTGAAGGATACACGGGAACTCTCTGTCTTTTTGCGACTTCCTGTCAATCTATAATTATTTCAAAAGTAAAATTTAAAAAATTCTATGGATGGCAATGAGCAAAGTTAGTTTTAAAAGCTAAAAAAAAAAGCGAAGGTAATCATCTGCATATATTTTTGTTTACTTTATACTTAGTATCAGATGATAACATAATAACATATCTCTATCTCTATTTATCTACCTATATCATATGATATAATCACCGGAAGCAAATAACACGTGGCTTTAAATTACCCTCAGGCCGGCATTTTTTGTTGTACTGATTGTACTTGCTTGCTGCGGGAAACTCCGCCGCCAGGTGCCTGCGAATTACATTCTCCTGGGATTATTTGTAAGTAGACTTTGTTAGCACTCCTTGCTGCTTGCCTCTGAAATCTATTCCTGTCACATTAGTAATTCCACTCCTTCTATTGTGGAAAATCTTCCTGTGGAATAATACAGATAGTATTTGTGAGATGTTCTCTTGGCTGGATTCTGGTTGTAACGAAGTCATAAACTTACTTATGAGACAGTATCCACACCCCTTTACTGAGAGGATCTGGGGACCCTGGGCAAACTTGCCTTGAAAAGGCCACACAGGGGAGCCCCCTCACAGGCTGCATTTCAGGAACAGCTACCTTGACTGTTTCTGGCCCTCTGCCACAAACCCATTTTGTTATGGAAAGTGGGTTTCACATTTGGTTCACAAACTCGTGGGTGAGAAGTGTAATTTTCCTTATTTTTGTAAGATTTATCTTATTTCTGTTTCAAGTCTCACCGGGAGCAGAAACCCATCTCACCGCAGCTTCTCCCTATTTCCTCACCTTGCATCTCAGTTCAGGAGAGTTGGGGGCTGGGGGACTCCAGGTCCTTGGCTCTCCTCTCCTCACTTATGCGTGGTCTAGTTCCCAGTTCACAGCGCCTCCCGTGGGGCTTCTATTCACAAGGCCTCGCCACGTTGGTCCTTTCTCTGTGAATCAGTGCTGCTCTGGGCCACAGAAAATGTGTGGCTCTTTTTCTTGCCGCCAGTTCCTTTCCCTGCTGCTCACAAGGATTCCAGGATTTCAGCACCCTCCCATTGTGAAGATTTACTTACCAATTGATTAATTCTTCATCTGGTTCCACATCAGATTTGAGAGAGCTTATAAAAATACCCACAGTATAAGAAGATAAGATAAATTGGTGGGGGAATCTGATGAAAGGAAAAAAAATAAGGGTAGGAAAATAAAGCCAGTGGTTAGATTGTATACAAAATGCATAGTCCTACACATGCTGAACAGCCAAAGCAGTTTTGAGAAAGAGGAACAAAACTGGAGGTGTCACAATCCCAGATTTCAAGATCTACTACAGAGCTAGAGTAATCAAAACAGTACGATACTGGCACAAAAACAGACACATAGATCAATGGAACACAATAGAGAGCCCAGAAATAAACCTGCAACTATATGGTCAATCAATCTTTAATAAAGAAAGCAAGAATATACAATGGAAAAAGGACAGTCTCTTCAACAAATGGTGCTGGGAAAACTGGACAGCCACATGCAGAAGAATGAAACCGGACTTTTTTTTTTAAAGATTTTATTTATTTGACTTTGACAGAAAGACACAGCGAGAGAGGGAACACAAGCAGGGGGAGAGGCAGAGGGAGAAGCAGGCTCCCGGCCAAGCAGGGAGCCCAATGCGGGGCTCGATCCCAGGACCCTGGGATCATGACCGGAGCCAAAGGCAGACGCTCAACGACTGAGCTACCCAGGCGCCCCTGGACCACTTTCTTATACCATACACAAAAATAAACTCAAAATGGCTTAAATACCTAAATGTGAGACCTGAAACTATAAAACTCCTAAAAGGAAACATAGGCAGTAAACTCTTGAACATTGGCCTTAGCAACACTTTTTGGATCGTTCTCCTCAGGCAAGGGAAACAAAACCAAAAATAAACATTTGTGACTACATCAAATTAAAAATCTCTTGCACAGGGAACGAACAAAACAGAAAGGTGACCTACTGAATGGGAGAAGATATTTGCAAATGATATATCTGATAAGGAGTTAATATCATATATATGTATATACTATCTGTTCATACAAATGAACACCAAAAAAATCTAATAAAAAACGCACAGAGGACCTGAATAGACATTTTTCCAAAGAAGACATACAAGATGGCCAACAGATGATCTGCTCAACATCACTAGTCATTATGGAAATGCAATGAGATAGCACCTTACACACGTCAGAAATGACTACTATCAGAGAGACAAGATATAACAAGTGTTCATGAGGATGTGGAGAAAAGGGAAGCCTCTTGCACTGTTGATAGGAATATAAATTGGTGCAGCTGCTGTGGAAAATGGGATGGAGTTTCTCCAAAAATTAAAAAATAGAAATACCATACAATCTAGTAATTCTACTTCTGAGTATTTACTCAAAAGAATGAAAACGCTAATTGAAAAAGATATATGCACCCCTATGTTTATTGCAGCATTATTTACAATAGCCAAGATATGGAAGCAACCTAAGTGTCCATTGATAGATGAATTGATAAAGAAGAGATGGTACATATATACAATGGAGTATTATTCAGCCATAAAAAGAATGAAATCTTGCCATTTGTGACAACATGGATGGACCTAGTGGGTAAGTGCAAAGTGAAATAAGTCGGACAAAGAAAGACAAATATCATATGATCTCACTTATATGTGGAATCCAGAAAACAAAACAAATGAACAAACAAAACAGAAACAGACTCATAAAGAGAACAGACCGGTGGTTGTGAGAGGTTGGGGGGGCGGGGGAATAGGAGACACATGTGATGGGAGTTTGAGAGGTACAAATTTCCAGTTATAAATAAGTCACAGGGAATGTAGTCAATCCTGTCATGATAACTTTGTATGATGACAGATGATACCTCACTTATTGTGGTGAGCATCTTGTAATGTATATAATTGTCAAATCACTATGTTGTATACCTGATACTAATACAATATTGTATGTCAACTATACTTCAATTAAAAATTTAAAAAAATGCATCGTCCTACACCCTTGAGTGTGATAAGCCTGGATTTGGGTCTGTGCCTTCTGGTGGTCAAAGAGAGGAAGGACACATGCCAATGGCGAGATTCTCAGCATCCATATAGTGCAGTGTCCAGTGTGATTTCTATGTGGGGAAGAAGAGCTTCATCCCGAGGGGGGAGAAGACTAGCTCTCTGATGCTTACATGTGGGCATTTCCTTGGCTGCCAGAGCATTGAAAGGCCTTTCTTACCTGGCGTGGATACCCTGCTCATTGCTCAGGGGAGCACGTGGGTTCTCCCAGTTCCTGCAGAGACCACACTCAGGAAGGAGTGGGGGCTAAAAGCCAGACACAGAAAGATATTGGGAATCCTGGAGCATAGGCAATAGGGTGGGGAAGTTGTTTCCAAAAACTTCCGAATTTTTTATTTTAAAAATTTCCAAGAAAAAAAATTAAATAATTACAGGAGATCAAAGTTATTGGTCTCAAAAGAAGCTCTCATCTCTGAGGTTTTGTTGTGTATCCCAAAGCAGGTAACAGCTTAATATTATAGAGGGGCAAAGAATTAGTTATATCTTCTAGACTTTGTCTTCACTAAGATTAGGAAAAATATGGAGAAAACCATTTCAGAAAAGGAGTTGAGGGAAAATGAAAACACACACCGAAGACAGCTTTTGTTCCATAGCATTTAAGCCCCCGGAGCCCATGTTCTGCGCTCTTGAAGCCATTAGGTGGGTTTGACTTCTCATTCTCCTCTTGGAAAACTGAAAAGTGGTTTCCTGCTTTATTTTTAAGATTTTTGTTTATTTATTTATTTGGCAGAGAGGAAGACAGCGAGAGGGGGAACACAAGCAGGGGGAGTGGGAGAGGGAGCCAGAATCCTGGGATCATGACCTGAGCCGAAGGCAGATGCTTAAGGACTGAGCCACCCAGGCGCCCCAGGTTTCCCGCTTTAAATCTTTTCCTCCCCCTCCAACCTCTGTCTTCTTCCCATCATCCTCTCTCTCTGTCTCTCTCTCTCATACACACACACTTACGTGCTGCAAAAGATGGAGAAATATGCAGCAATCGAGCAAGTAGACGAAGAAAATCTTAAGAGGAAAGTTGGAAGCAAGCACATTTTTCAAATACCACGTGTACATGGAACAGATAGAGCTTCTTAAACCTATACTGGAAATAAAGACAGCTCTGGTAAATTTAACAAAGTAGAGAGTCATGCAGCTACTTACTGGGCTTGGGACACGCAGAGACGCAATCCAGGACTCTGGGGACCGCGGTCGTTCTCCTCTCCTATCCTGGATAACGTTGGCCAGCTGGAGAAGCTCAAAGCCGCTCTAGCAGTCCTCGCCCAGCGGTTAGGCTGCGTCTTCATTTTTACTCCCGGGCCCTAGCCGATTCTCCCCTGGCTCTTGCCGCGGACCAGAGGGTGAGCCAAGGCTCCGGACTTGCCTCTCGTGGAGGCGCCCTCCCAGCTGGGGAATGTCAGGCCCTTGAGCAACTGTTCACTGCTGTCGCACTCCACCTGTCTGCTGCTGGAGCCCGACTGTGCCCCTGGGGCCATCCTTGCTGCCTTCGTTGGGCTCCTCCTCTGGCTTGAGCGCCTCTCTCGCACACGGCCCCGCCCCGGCTGCGGCCAGCCCGTGGACACTGTCCCGCCTCGTGCAGCCCCAGTGCAGCCGGCTTCTGAGCCTGAGACCGGCACCTACAGGTGCAGCTCCACGCGCAGTGGAGAACTGCCCTCGAGCCCCATCCCCTCCATCCTCCTCCCTCTTCTGAGGTCTGAAGCTTTTAATTCCCACCCAAGCACTGTAGGAAGGGTCCGTACTGGGGCTGTTGGCAAAGCATCAGTGGAAATAGCATATCCTGCTTTGATAAAATTAGGATTCTGTGTGGTTGGCGCCGTGGGATTAACAGCAATATGGTCTAGAGAAACCTTTTATTACGGTTTCGATATTCCTATTGAATGCATCTTTAATTCCCTCACTACGCTGAAAGTTACTCCTGCGTTCTAAGAATTTTTACTAATAGAAGAAGCTTATCAGTCTTGGGGGGAATGTTAGGAAAATGTTTAGTTCCACTATTTGTTTCCCGTAATTAATCTTCCCGGTAGTTTGCACGCTAGCGTTATTTGCACGTTATCCGCGCTCCCACTCGCTCCTGCCAAAAACACCCGCCCCTTAAACCATCTCCTCTGGCTTCTGCGCCTCGGGAATCGGGGTTCTGATTTACTGTGCATTTTGTTTTCAGACGGTTCTTCAAGGTCTGCTGCTCGGAGCCGTATCAGTGTAAGTCTTGGATACACATTTCCTTTTCCGTGCGTGCTTCTCCTTGTATGTGTATGTGAACAGTAATCACAGTCTCTGCTTTCAGTTTCTATAACGCTGAGGAAGTGTTATGGGCAACAGCTGCAACCGCTGTGGTGACGTTAGCCCTCACTCTGTTTGCTCTTCAAACAAAAGTATGTATCCCCGGAACCGACTCCCGTCGTAAGAGAGTGTGTGGATGTATGTTCCTTTGCCGCTGCTGACCCACTCTTTCCCCTCCTCCCTCCTGCTCACTGCTGTCCTGCGTGGCCTCCCCGCCTTCTGGAGTCTGACTTTGCTAGTAACCACGTTAAAAAAGCAAAAAAAAAAAAAAAAAAAAAAAAAAAAAAAAAAAAAGGACCAGGTGAAATTAATTTTAATCATATATTTTATTTAACCGGATATATGCAAGGGATTACCATTTCCGTAATCGTTAGAACAAACGTATTGAGCTATTTTACATCCTTTTTTGAACTAAAATTCAAATCCAGTGTGTGTTTTCAACTTCCAGCCCACTTCACTTGAGCCACCCTTCAGATGCCCACCAGCTGCAAGTATTGAATGCTCCGCTGCAAACTTTTTTTTTTTTTTTTTAAGATTTTATTTGAGAGACAGTGAGAGAGGGAACACGAGCAGGGGGAGTGGGAGAGGGAGAAGCAGGCTCCCGGCTGAGTGGGGAGCCCGATGCGGGGCTCGATCCGAGGACCCTGGGATCATGAACTGAGCTGAAGGCAGACGCTTAACAACTGAGCCACCCAGGCGCCCCCAAACATTTTTTTAACCATCAGAATCACCTGGAGGGCTTGCGAAAACAGGTTCCTTGGGCTCCACCCTGGGGTGGCGGCTTCAGAAAGCCTGGGGCGTGGGCCCAGTAATTTGCATTGCACGGGCGATGCTGATGGTGCGGAACCACCCTTGGAGACCTAATACTTCAGATTACTCTCTTGGTGTGCACAGGGTAGGGAGTGAGGGGGGAAATAGAAGAAGTAGGAAAACGCTCTGACAAAATATCGGAGATTCAAGGGTCTTCTTTTGCTGCATAATCTTACTCAGGTCAGAAGATGATGTTCCCCTTCCTTTAAAAGAATCCTCATCTTTTGGGGGCACCTGGGTGGCTCAGTCAGACCTTAGGCTCAGGTCATGGTCCCAGGGTCCTGGGATCGAGTCCAGCATCCGGCTCCCTGCTCAGCGGGGAGCCTGCTTCTCCCTCTGCCTCTGCCTCTCCCCATGCCTGTGCTCTTTCTCTTTCTCTCTGACAAATGAAAATAAAACAAGAATCCTCATCTTTCCCAGGCTGATTTGGTCCCTTCCCTGATTTATTAAAAAGGCAAAACCAAAAAGCATATTAATAAATTTCAAAATTACAAAAGAATCATTAGCAATAATTTTTGAAAGCATAGTGTATCTTTATTAAAATATATGCAAACAAACACGGAAAATGTGCCCAGTTAATATTGGTCTATTTCATTCCATTACTGTATTCTATGCACAACACTTTTAAAGATACGAATAATTATGATCATACTATACATACAAATTTACATCCTATTCAGTGTACCTTTATTAGGGGAAACTTCATATAAATACAAAATAGAATAGTATAACGAACCCTCATGTATCCTTGGCTCCTGTGATTTCCTCCATACTCCGACCCACTCCTCCCCCCTGAAGCAAGTTCCAGTCAACAGCACACTTTTTAATGTAGCATTTTTCCGTGGTGGGGCAAATGGATTTCCATGGTTCTCAGAAATGTCCTGGGTAAATTATTAACAAACGGGTCAGTGTCTATCTATGGGTATAAAATGCATCTCTAAACATCCTGAAATTCCTTATAGATGATAACTGAGTTATTTTTGTGTTGTTTCCTCAGTGGGATTTCACCATGCTCAATGGAATGCTGTTTGTTTTACTCTTCGTACTTATTATCTATGGAATTCTCTTACTCTTCATACGATCATATGTAAGTGGGATCTCGTTTGGGAACCTCAGAGAATTGTTAGAAAGGTAGGGTGACGTGCCGGTTGTGTTGGCCTGGATCCTCTGAGAAGCAGACCCGAAATGGGTGAAGCACGCGAGGACTGAAACAGGAGAAATGTCTCCGGGAAGAAAGGGGCCGGGAAGCCGCTGGTGGCTGGAAGACCTGTCTGACCCCAGCAGCGTATCTGACACGCCAAGTGAAGGAGGGGGAAGGTGGGTGGTGGGAGCCTTCTAGAGAGGAAGTCAAGGCAGGTTCATCAAGGCCTTCAGGGGGCCCTTGAGCTAAAGTTGACTGTGCTCTTGTGTCTCCCAGGAAGGGCTCTGCTGCTCCCCAGTGACTGAGAAGAGGCAGCCCGGCCCCTCCCCGGAGCTGGAGGTCCGTGAGGCCTGTCCTTGTGGCTGCCCAGTGTGGTGTGGCTGGGGCGCCAAGGACGCAAGGTGTGGGGCATGAAGACTGAGCTCCTTCTCTAGACCACAGATGCCTTTCCCTCAGAGGGTGTAGGGGGTGAACCTCCCCACGGGGCGGGTCAGACTCCGTCTCCTATCCTTAGGTGCTGCTTGTTTGAAGTGATAGGAGTGGAGACATGGGCTTTTTCAGACTTTCCCCGACAACAGCCTAGAGGAGGCTCCTTGTTTTCCAATTCCAGCTTGGCTCGCTTGCTTTCCTTCCTTTCTTCCTTTTATATCTTCATTGACTTCTTACTAGACATGAGCCTGTGGTTTTCACATAGGCATTACATTGAATTCTCATGACCTTCCTGAAAAGTACATAGGTCATCTACTCTATAGGTGAGAAAACAGGCCCAGAGAAATTAAATAATTCCTCCAAGTCCACACAGGGAGTACATGGTAGGGATGGGGTCAAAGCCCCATCTGTGTGACACCAGTGCCATGCCCTTTCCGGCACAGCGCACTGTCTGTGGGTGGAGGCTGCAGGGCGTGTGGGGAGGTAGAGGCATCGCGTCTGGGCCTGTGGCCTGGCTGTCATTGGCCCCTGTGTGGAGACAGGCAGCCGGGTCCGCTGAGGACTGGCCTGCGGCCTGTGACCTTTGGACTAAAGCCCTAAGGCCAGCTTGGCCCAACTGCTGAATCAAAGAGTTTCTTTGATAACAAGTGGACTTATTCAGCGATCTTCAAGACGTATAACCAGCAGTTCTGCCTGAATTGGTTTAGCTTTATGAATGACCGTAGAGACTTACAGCTAGGGAGATAGCATCTATATTTTATTTAATTTATTTTAATTTATGTTTAGCATCTATCTTTTAGAGATAAAAACTCAAAGATATCACAAAGATGTGCCTTAAAAGGCCACACAGCTCTCCAATTATTATCATGGATGGTAGCCCAGATATTGGTAGTAATAATCCAAATATTTATTAGGTTGGTTCTGTAGGTCTTTACAATACCATCTAGGTGCACTTAAGGAACTGTGTTTCCTACCAGATAGATGCACCCCAATTCCCACTGTAAACTTCCTTTCACAAATATCTACAATATATAATCTTACACACGTGTTTAAACGGAAGACTTTGACAGAACCTGGTTGTTAAGTATACATGCTTGTTTGACTTGGGCAATTTTGAATTCTTCAGACTTCAGTAATCAGGTGTTTTCTTACTATTAGCTCAGTCCAGAAACACTGCCCCTCCCACACTGTGTCACTGACTCCTGATTTATATCCTTCACCAAGAATCTTCCCTGGTTAGCAGAATGCTCTCTTTATCTAGGATGAGCTTTCTTGTCCTGAAAAGTGAATGGCATGATTTTTCTCATATGTTAGGCACCACCTCTTTATCCTCTCCCCTATGTAAAGCCAACCCCTTTGGCATTCAGATCAGTCCTGTATTCTGATCAGGGCTGTTTTGGTTGCACGGAACAGACTAGCTTGAGGCAAAGACCCAGGGGATGTTCATGGAACTCCTAGGTTGGAAGAAGCGACAAGATTCACAGAAATGGAAATCCCCTCCCCTTCCTCTCTTGGGCTGAGCTGACTGGCCAACTCTATTTGGCTATAGTAATAGCTCCAGCACTAGCTGATGATACAACAGCCTCAGAATTTCTGACTGGCCTGGTGCGTTTGTTTGATACCAGTCACCTATAAGGTTTCTGGTCAGTCAAGAGAGTCACTGCTGTGGGAGTGGATGTCTTCCATCTCTTGTCAATCAGCTCTAGCTAGGGTGCCGGAGGGTCACTATTTTTCCAGAGCGACCTGTTCCAAGAGCTGAGTGTAGGGGCAGGTGCTGGAGAAGGGCTATGTGATGGTGCAAAAAGTGAAACATATCCAGTATGTTCTACTTGCCCTACCATGCATGAGATGTTTAACACTTATTTGATAAAACTGATTTGGCAAGGGTGGTTTTCATTTGTTGGCTGAATGGAATGGAGTGGATGCTGTGGACCACGATGTTCAAAAAGATGAATTTCCCCACAGATTTGTCTTTCTGTAATATTGGGTCCTTATCTGGCAGCAGTGACCCAGGTGAGACCTTTCATTATTCTGAATCTTGTTCTTAACATAAAATTGTTTCTTCTCTTTGCAGTGGTTGCATCTGTTGTATGCTGGCCTTGGAACTATAATCTTCTCACTTGTAAGTCCATGTCTCCCTCGCTTTGACAAAGTGCATATGGTATCTGCATCAACAGTGCCCCTAAGCCTGTGCTAGCCCCAGAGTCTAGTAGAGTCAGGAATCTACTCAAAAACCCTCCAGGAGACTTCTCCCTCCTACGTCTCCCCCTCCTCCTTTCCCTCCTATGCTGCTTCTTTTTCTTTATAAAGACAATTTTTAGAGCACTTTTAGGTTCACAGCACAATGGAGAGGAAGGTAGGTACAGACGATCCCCCCCCGTGCCCCCACACATGAATGGCCTCCCCCCCGATCAACATCCCCCACGAGAGTGATACATTTGTTACACGATGAACCTACACGGACACATCACAATCACCTAGAGTTTATATCAGACTTCACTCCTGGTGTGGCACACTCTCTGGGTTTAGATAAATATATACTGACATGTTCCATCATTATGACATCACACAGAGTATTTTTTACTGCTCTAAAAATCCTTTGTGTTCCACCTTTTGATCCCCACCCCCCTAACTCCAACCCCTGGCAACCACTGATCTTTTTCCTGTTTCCAAATTTTGCCTTTTCTGGAATGTCGTATAGCGGAAGTCATCTAGTCTGTAGACTTTTCAGAACGGCTTCTTTCACTTAGTGATGTGCCCTTAAGGTCCGTGTGTCTCTTCGTGGCCAGACAGTTCATTTCTTCTTAGTGCTGAATAACATTCCATTTTCTACAGTGCCGCCATTCATGGCTCCGTCCACCTACTGAAGGGCATCTTATTTACTCCCACGTTTTGGCAATTTTGAATAAAGCTGCTATAAACATCCGTGTGCAGGTTTTTGTAAGTTTTCAACTCCTTTGGGTAGATACCAAGGAACATGATTGCTGGATTGGATGGTAAAAGTATGTTTCGTTTTATAAGAAACTTCCAAACTGTCTTCTAAAGTAATTTCACCGTTTTGCATTCCTGCCGGCAATGACTGAGAATTTGTTGCTCTACATCTTCACCAGCATTTGATGTTGTAAGTGTTCCAGAATCAGCCATCAGTGGTATCTGATTGTTTTTAATTTGTATTTCCTTTATGACATATGATGCAGAGTATCTACTAGTGGTGTTTATTTGCCACCTGTATATCTTCTGTGGTGAGGGGTCTCTTAAGTTCTTTGGCCCATTTTAAAATCAGATTGTTTGCTTATTGTTGAGTTTTAAGAGGGATTTTTTTTTGTATATTTTGCATAACAGTCCTGTATCAGATGTGTCTTTTTTTTTAAAGATTTTATTTGAGAGAGAGAGAGAGAGAGCATGAGAGGGGGGAGGGTCAGAGGGAGAAGCAGACTCCCCGCTGAGCAGGGAGCCCGATGTGGGACTCCATCCCAGGACTCCTGGATCATGACCTGAGCTGAAGGCAGTTGCTTAACCAACTGAGCCACCCAGGTGCCCCAGATGTGTCTTTTACAAATATTTTCTTCCTTCTATGTCTTGTTCTCTCATTCTCATGACCTTGTCTTTCACAGAGCAGGAGTTTTGAATTTTAATGATCTCCAGCTTATGCATTATTTCTTTCATGGGTTGTACATTTGGGGTCATATCTAAAAAGTCATCACCACACCCAAGTCATCTAGGTTTTCTCCTATGTCATCTTCTAGGAGTTTTATAGTTTTGTGTTCTACATTTAAGCCAGAGATCCATTTTGAGTTAATTCTTTGAAGGTGTAAGTTCTTTGTCTAGATTTGGGTTTTTTGCACATGGATGTCCAGTTGTTTGAACACCACTGGTTGAAGAGAATGTCTGTTCCATTGTCTCACCCTTGCTCCTTTGTCAAAGATCAGTTGATTATATTTACGTGCATCTAGTTCTGAGCTCTTCAGTCTGTTCCAGTGATCTATTTGTCTCTTCTTTCACCAATACCACCCTGTCTTACTTACTGTAGCTTCATAATAAGTCTTGAAGTCAGGTAGCATCAGTCCTCCAACTTTGTTCTTCTCCTTCAGTATTGTGATGGCCATTCACACACACTTATTTAAAAAAAGAATGTAGTCATACTATATAGAATGTTCTGTCTTGCTGGTCCGATGGTAGTGGGTTCTCAGAACTTGTTAACACTAAAGTTGGTATACAACACCCCCCACAGCTAAATTTGGCCCTAAAAAAAAAAAAAAAGACTATACTGTCTTTGCTTTTTCACTTAAAAATAATGGTCTCCACATTTTAGCAGACATGGATTGAGTTCATTCTTTTTTAAAGGCTGCATGATATTCCATTTTATGCTTTTATCATGTCACGTATTTTAGGTTTTCTCTTTATTTATGTTTGGCATTTCCAAACATACCCGGAAGTAGAGAGAATGGAGTAATAAACTCCACACATTATCACCCAGCTTAAAAATATCCACATTTTGCTTCAGTGTGTTCCTTTTTGTTAGAATTATGTCCCATTTTCAAATGTCAGAAAAATTTAGACCAGGAGGCTAATGTTACATATGTACATTTCAGTTTTCTCACTCCTTCCGCTGATACGAAGAGAACTGACTTGTGCTCATTTTCCTTTACTCTTTTGCTCTCATCCTTTGCATATTGATGCCTGCTTTTATATCTCTTGTGTCCTGTTTTCAGTCATAGTTTGTTTCCATGCAAAAGTACATTGTTGTTTCTCTTTCTGGAGGCAGAACAAATACTTTTGTAGACTCAGACAGGTCTGCCCAACACTAAACAAATAATGGAAGAGGGAAATTGAAATTTTTTTCAGGGAGGTGGGGAGGGGATGGTTAACCATGAGAGCTGTAGGGGTGAGGCAGGGTGTTATCCCCAAATGCTCCTGGGGGTCTGAATCCCAGCTCATCTTACTCTCTCACTTCTGTCTGCTTTCAAAAACATTTCACCTGGGAGGTGCACTCCTAACCACCAAGACGTGTCTGTGAAATGATTAGAAGTTATTACCCTCGTATAAGAAGAAATAAGATAAAGTCAGGAGTTCTTGGAGGAGAGGAAGAGAGAAAGCGCTTCTCCATAGAAGTCAGGACGCCAGGTGATAAATGAAGGCTGGAAGCTCAGCTGCTGGGCAGCCCGTTTTCTAGGGTGACTAACTGTTCTGGTTCGCCCAGCACTGAGGGGTTTTCCAAGGACACACTGGAATGATTGGTCACCCTAGCTTATCCCCCGTCCCCCGAAGTTGCTGGAATCAGTCAGAGGGAGAGGGGAGCAGTGAGGAGAAGGGACTCAGTATCAAGGTGAGGCACTTGCTTTGGCATCCTGCCCAGCCTTGGGTTGGACTTCCTTCTCTGCCATTCGCCACAGTGTGATTTTCTCTTCTTGGAGGCTTAATCTCCCCTGCCTCCACCAGGTGGGTCACATTTTACATGAGATAATGTCTGTAATGAGCTGGCATGAAGCTACCCAGGAGTGCCCACTTCCTTTCCTCCTGCTCTGCTCTCCCTTCCTCCTTATCTCTCCCAGTCTGAGTGGCAACCGGGGCCCATGGAGAGCTGATACCAGAATCACTTAGGATGGGTCTTACTGAAGTGGATATTGTTGTAAACAAATTATTTTAAAGCATCCTTAAAATCCCTAGAATTCTCTATAGTGCCAGCGTTGATCTGTCTGGTGGGGCTCTGTGGCTCTGCCCCACAGCACTAGACTCAGTCTAGAGTCTGGATACAAAGAAGTGAGGGGCCCCTTGTTTCCTTTTCCTCCTCTAATGTGTACTGCTGCCCGGGGCTGCTCACCTGGCAACAAGCACAAGGGCAAGAGGGCTCCCTGACTTTTTTCTTGATGTTTTAGGAACTCCTAATTTTATCTACTGTAGCTGAGCTAAAACGTTTATTTTGGGAAATATTTAACCATATACAAACCCCATCTTCCCCTCCTTCTATTTTGGAAATATCGACAGCATTGTAAAACCATCCCAATGTCAAGGTTTGAAAAACACTATCATCCAAAGTCCCAGGAATTCAGAATTATTGCTGTGTGTGAATCTAAATGTCAGGGACCGTCTTTATCTTCGTTCTTTGTTCAGCAAGAACGTGTGGGGAAATCACAAATACAGGGAATTTTGTAGTTGATCTCTGTGTCCAGTTGTTCCACCTGGTCCACCTCATTGGCTAAAGGCCCAAAGGTTTCCGCATTTGGAAAGCAAAAGGAGGCTTATGGACTTGGTGCCACTGTCATCAGGAGGATCGAGCACTTGCTGTAATAGATAGAAGACGCACTTGGGGACAGAGTGAATGGTTGAGGCTGTAAAAAGAACATATATAGCCACAAATTGACTTTCTGCAATATATTTGCTGATGCTAAAATATTTTTTCCAGGTAATTTAGGATACCTACTTGATAGAAATGTACAATTTAGGTAGCCAATTCTTCTTTCTTTTCTTTAAGTACTTGGTGATGGATGTACAGCTCATGGTGGGAGGGCGCCACCATCACTCTGATCTGGACCCTGAAGAGTACGTTTTTGCTGCCCTGAACATCTACTTGGATATCATCAACCTCTTCCTTTTTATTTTGCAACTGATTGGACTGGGACGGTTGTCATAGGGCCAAGACTGGTTCATGTTGAAAAGAGGGAAGGAGGGATGGCTGTGACATGTTGCCTGGCTCAGACATGTGGGGGTTACCTCACTTCATTAGCCTTTTAATACAAAAAAATATTTAAAAATACTTTTTTTTTTTTTTGTCAAACGAAACCAAGCATTCAGTAGATGATAGCTGTAGCTATGATATTTTTAGTTCCATTGTCACATTGCAAAACTTTCTGGGGGACACTTCTGATTTTCATAAATTCAAAAGATGAGTATCATTTTTACACACTAATAAACATTGGCAAGATGTCCATAACACTGTTGAAGTGTTCCAGGCAGTCTTTAAAGCTGTGAACAACATCTCTGTACATGAATAAATTTGATTACAGAAACCTATATTTACCCGTTCTCTTTTCTTGGACATTCTGTGGACATTCTTGAATATTTTGGCATCTGACTTTTTTTTTTTTTTTAAGAGTAAGATAAACTAAAGAATTCTGCCTTTTCCCTGTATTCCAGGGTCAGACTGGAGAGAATAATAGCATCCACCTAGTAGGGGTTACAGAGAATTAACAGAGTTAATGTACCTCAAGGGCTCAGGATAGAGTGTTAGCTATATTGTCAGTCTCACCTATATTTCTGGGCTTAACTCAGCGACCACCTCCTCTGGTTGTCTGGAACAATGAAGAAAATGATCTTAATTGTGATAAAATACTCATAACAAAATTTACCATCTTAACTATTTTTAAGTGTATAGCTCAGTAGTGTTAAGTACATTCACGGTATTGTGCAACCAATCTCCAAAATGTTTTCATCTTGCAAAACTGAAACTCCATACCCATTGATCAACAAGAAGTCTCATAACATTTTCCATGACTTATTTATTTATACACATCTTATATAACTGGTTTGATTATGTTCCTGGAGGTCATAGATTAGACAGATCTTTATATCCCTCCCGGAGTCTCATACCTTGTTGGTGTGAGATGCCTGATGAGAAAATTCTCACTGAGATATATAAGTTCAACTTTCAAATCCATGCAAAGGAACCTATGGCTACATCCTTGCCTCACCTGTTTCTAATTCCACGTGTTGGTCCAGCCAGTCTCTGGTGCTTGCCCCAGCGGGAAGCATGTAAGTCATGTCTGCAGGGTGAGCGAAGGCACGAGGCAGGCCTTTGGTGTGCTTCAGGTGGTTCAGGGAGGGAGCTGGAGAGAAGAGGTTAATGTAGAGGGATAGTTATGCCAGATGATGGAGGACCTCAACTTTCAGGCTCAAGATTTCAGACCATCTTGTAGGCATAAGATTTTGATTGCAGTATCATGGTGAAGGCACTGCTGTAGGAGAATTAGTCTGGTCATTGTGGGTGGGTTAGGGTAGAGAAGGGAGGTATTAGAGAGGAAGGCTGTATCAGAGCTAATGCAATCACATACAGTGAAGGCACTCTAAGAACAGACCTGGGATGATAAATGGGGTAGAATGAGTCAATCATATGTGATCGTGATAATGGACAAAAAAGGCTGATGGAAGTGGATGTCTGATTGGATGACTCCTCAGGGTAGGGGAGAAATAGGGTGTCCCATATTTACTGTGGGTAATTGTCACTTACTAAAATAAAGCCATCTTAAGAAAGAGGGAAATGGCTTGGGGAGTTGTGATATGACAAAAGGTTTAGATATTTTGAATACGTAGAAACAGGAAATGTGAATCTGGCAGTTTCAAGAGCTGAAGCTTGGGGCTAGAGGTAACTGGGGACCATCACAGGCGAGAAGTGAGGCAGGGAGAATGGATGAAACAGTCAGGAATGACATACGTAGGGGAGTCCAAAGACCAAATTCCAGAAATACCAGTAATTAGTAGATGGAAGGAAAAAAAAGAATATGGGTCATGAAAACAACAGTGAGAGGGTAACATTACGGAGGCTGGCAGAGCCTTTCAGGAAAGCACTGGTGAGATGTGGCTATAATTCACTTAGGGCTGTGATGTCTCAGAACATTAAGAACACACAACACTGTTTCATTAAATCTACACCCAAAAGTCAAGCAAGTCACAATAAAAGCAAGAACAAGCCCAGTGGATTTGACAATGACTGGATCACTGATTTGGAGGGACAGAGAGGACCGAGTCCAGACTTCACGGAGGCAGGAACGGTTATCGTGGCAGGGGAGGCCAGACCCCAAGAGGGAAGTCTGGTTGCTTCACCTCTGGAAGGAGAGAAACGGCAGAGGCAGGCAAAGGGGGGACATTTTTTACTTTTTGGTTTTCCACTCTCCAGGACAGGGGACATTTGGGGCATGTTTGAAGGCGGAAGGAATTGAAGGTACGAGAAATGGAGAAAAATCCTAGTGAGTAGGGACAGGAAGAGCCCCAGGGCCCTTTCTTCCAAAACTGGAGAGAGGGATTGGAACATGTACCTGTGGCAACCTCTTTTGAAATGGGGGGGAGATGTGAAGCAGAGGAAGTAGGGTCTGCAGAGGCCATGCTGCAGAGATCAGGACTCAGAGAACAGCAGAGGAGGAGGTTTGATCTGGCTGCCAAGGGTTGTGCATGCGGGAGTCAGCCTGAGAGGACTGGGAAAACTTCCTCATTTATCGAAAGTATTCGAGAAAAGAAGGCTGTGAATAAGGCAGATGAACTTTTCCAAATAGACACAATCAAGAGCAAAGAGTTCTAGTTTGGGAAACTTTCCAATAACAGTGGATTATAATTCTGTGATGACTGCAGATCATAATAGCATAATTCTTTCATCATCAATCTGAAATGGATCAGTTAGCCAGCAGTTTAGATTTAGGCGAGTGTTGTCTGTACAATTTTTTTTTTAAGATTTTATTTATTTATTTGCCAGAGACACAGCGAGAGAGGGAACACAAGCAGGGGGGTGGGAGAGGGAGAAGCAGGGAGCCCGATGCAGGGCTCGATCCCAGGACCCTGGGATCATGACCTGAGCCAAAGGCAGACGCTGAACTCCTGAGCTACCCAGGCGCCTCAGTGTACAGTCTGTTTTTGATGCTATGGCATTGCAAATTAGACAAATAGAATAAAATAAAATAGAATCTGATTGAAAAATCAAGGCTGTGGGAATAAAAACTTACTGTGAAAGGAAGTTTGATTCCTTCCATTGAAGAGGTTAGTCTTGGTCCTCCGGAGGTCCAAAGTTAATCATAAATTAGGCTAACATGTAATTGAAGTGAACCTGACTGGGCAAAATAATTTGCAAATACCACCTGTTTTCTGCTGGGGCCAGACATTTGTCTTGCAGCTTTTCTAGGATTCCTTGCCATCCTAACCACTGCTTTAGAAAGTTTCTGCCATTTCCTTGTCTCCTAAAGGAAAACCAGGTGCCAGTAGGGACAAATTTTGAGTGAGTTGAACCTTCAACGTGCAATTCTGAAATTCTTAGTGCGGGTGTATGTTTCTCAAATTGCTGCAAGCCAAGCCCCAGACACCTAGAAGACCCTTGCCCATCCTCCCGTCTTTTTCCTAAATTGTAGCCAATTGGAGAGATGTGGAACTGAGGAGAACCTGGAGGTAACAGTGGACTTTAATTTCAGTTAGAATCTCCAGGGGTTTGCTGAGCCAAATTCCTTTACCTTCTTTCCAGTGATTCTGATTCAAAAAGCTACCACTTGTACAAAGGGAGGTAGGTTACTGACATGAGATTAACCTGTTACTGCCACAGAAGTTAAGAGATGCCCAATATGGGGAGAGCTTCACTGGAGAAAGAAAACAGACTGAGCCTAGATCAGAAACTATACAGTAAACCAACAACAAGCACGGAAAAACTTTGAACTGGATCTTGAGCAAAATGAAGATTAAAGGCCATACCATATAAAGGAATCTTATGGAGATGGGGTTGGGGGGAAAGCAAGCCTGCTTTGGAGAAGGGTCTTACAGGGAAAATATTATCAAGGTATTAAATGCCCTGGCACCGTCTCCTAATACAAACATTATACATATGGACAGTTCATTTATACCAGAGTTCAGCAAACTAAGGCCCCTGAACCAAATCTAGTTTGTTTTTATATTAGAACACACCACAGCCATTCATTTACTTATTGTCTATGAATGGTTTTGTGCTCCAACAGCAGAATGGAATAGTAGCCACAGAGACTGTGTGGCCTGCAAAGTCTAAAATATTTACCAGCTGGATTTTTACAGAAAAGGTTGCTAACCCATCATTTACATGATTAAAATGTTAAGATCCTAATAGATGAATTGACAAGCACAGCGTGTTTGAAGTAATGTTATTGAAGTATAAAAGCTATCATAAATTGCTTTGGGAAGGTATGTTTTTGTTAACTACCAGATACGCATAGTTGAATTTTTGAGATTTCTGCTATGTATAATATATACATGCAGGGAATGCTTCTATATATTCTCTCTTACAAATATAGCACCTGGCAAGTGTAGGAAATTTTTGGTTTCAAGTTCTACAGAATTGACTCTATAGAAATCACTATAATACTTTATAATAATACAGTATAATTACTGTATGTAAATTCTATCTCAAGCGATCTATTTGCTCCCAGGGAAGCCTTTTGAGTCTGAACGCCTTCAGTATCTGGCATGCCAACGAGAAGGGGCTATTTCCAGCATGAATGAATTGTGCAGGGGGGAATTAGATGGTCTCTTCTGGTCTCTCTAGAATGATTTACCATAAAGCTTCATTTCTAGATTTAACTGAATTTACAGATCTCAAGTAAGATATTTGAATTTTAAGTACAAGCACTACAGTCACATACACCTGACTTTTTGGTAACCTGTTATTTCAGATTAGCCCCTACCTCCATAGTAGAGTTTCTTATTGGGTTTATAATCTCTGATTACTTACCGGCAAAGTCCTGAAGATGAGCGTAACTTCTGAAATATGAGCAAGTAGAAGAGAAAGGGACTTTAAAATCTGGGAGGACCCTCTAAAGCTCCTGGGTCTGGATACATTAACAAACATTGCCATGTGTGTACCTGACAAAGGCTTTGATACCAGAGTCCTGGTGAATTAATTCCATAAAAGAAGAAAATTCAGCTGGGAAGCTTGAGGTTTTGCATACTCTCCTGGCATCGAGAAAACCTTCCTGTATATAACAGGGACATGCTGGCTGATTTCATTCTTAAGTTTCTGCTGTCCCAGCACCACATCAGGCATTTCCATTGTCTGGGCAATGTTCTCAACCATACACAGCCTATTGAGAGTCTACTGTATCTGCCGTTACATAGCAGTGACTTGATTAAAAGAAATTCTAATACATCCATGGCAATCTTTTTACTTCTGCATTTAGTAAGGACTCTAAGCCACACCTCTAGGCATCAGTCTATCTGATGAGATTAATTTATTACCAATATTAGAAATTTGTCTTTTGAGGGGCATCTGGATGGCTCAGTCGGTTAAGCAAGCATCTGCCTTTGGCTCAGGTCATGATCCCAGGGTCCTGGGAT